CTATGTCCGTATGGAAATGAGTCTGCGTATGTGTAATCTTGTAAGTTGAGGCAGTGTGTTGTCTATGTGTGTGATGCGGCCTCCCAACCCCGCATTGGCGGCCATGCCCAGCTCGTCGTCGTGAGCATTTGGGCTGCTGGTAAGGGGAGAAGCAGCCTGCACGGCGCCAGGAAAAGCTCACGGAAAAGAACGAACTAGAACGAGGACCGAAAAGTGCGGAGGCAGGTGCGCCAGAAGTGTTTCGAAGCAGTTACATGTCAGAGGAGATGAACGAAGTAGCGTGCAGGCCTCCCAAATCCCATCGGCGGCCAAGCGGTGACAGCCCAGCTCATCGCCATGAGCATGTAAGCTGCTGGTAAGGGGAAAAGCAGCGTGTACGGATGTAGGGAATCTCACTGAAAAAACCAAGCTGGAATGAACACAGAAAATGCCGAGGCAGCCACGCCAGAAGTGTCTCGAAGAAGTGACCTGTCCGATTGGTTCAATGCGGAACGCAACGAGAGAGATCACTTCATTCTCGACCTCATGATGTACTAGAGTGCGTTTGTGACTGAAAAGATCTATTTCCAGATCGAGGACCCGGATGTGATGGGCATTGAGCCTGATACCATGCTGATTGAGAATGGCTCCATTATTTTTGGAGCATTGAACCTCTGATGGAATCCCTTATCTTCATGCGGTTGTCCTTGTAGTTGTGTCTCAGACCCCTTTTCAAGCGTAGGGCGAGCAAGCAAGAAAGGCGTGTTTCCTGGGACGATGGAAGCCGTGAGGGGAAGAACTTGTCCATGCACCACTGCAGTGAACTCCACTTCATAGCTCGACTGCAAAGTTTCAACACCGCCAAGGCTCAGTCCTCACTGCTGTGAAGAAGGGATGGTCGGCACAGACCTGCGCCTTCCTCACGCTGGCAGAAAAGAAGCTGTCCATTGAGGTAGACCTGAATGCACATACCGGCACTTGAAGTTTGGAAACTGGCGTACTAGCAGAGCTCCCCTACTTGGGATGTAGTAGCACTCTGGGGTGTAAATTGCAATTTGTACAACTCGACACCCACGAAGTAGTTCTTCCGGGAGTCAAGAAGCTACTAGGGGCTCCTAGCAGATCCCACACAGAGCAAACTCAGAGCCACCACTGCTGCTGTGTGATTGCTCGGCCATGTTCTGTGGAGGCAGCACACAAAGGGCAGATCAAAGGGGAAGCCAAGGCAATCAGAGTGCCGCGAGGTAAGAACGACAAAATCCCACCGCAAGCCTTCTCCTTTCACACGGAAGTCCGACATGTCCTTGTTGAACCCCGCATGAGGATTGTAGGAGAAGCGGCTGTCGGGAGCTATAAGTGGTCCACCCGTGCTAAACAGTCGAACCAGAGAGGGTGGAGTTGTGGAGCTTGTTGGTGGTCGATGGAGGCCGTCTCAAACCTGGTGGTTGCCGATTGAAAGGTGTCCACGTCATGAACCCACCACCTTTGCCAGTTCCTTCGCTCTTGCCTTTTCCACCTCCTGACTTCCACTTTCCTTTGCCATCTCCCTTAGGGAATCGACTTCCAGAACGTTCGAAATCAGGTCCAAGAGCAACGACGGGATAGAAACCTCTGGAAAGTGCAAGCTCAAACATTCGTTTTCTGCTTTCCACACAGGATACATAAGCCTCATCTGCCTGATCTATAGATTCTTCAAGCTCCTCGGGGATGGTGTCATCATCTTTTTCATATTCGAAAGCTTCATAGGCCTCTTCATTCTGACTCACAACATACTTCTTCACAAACATCGAACCAGGTGTCCAAAACTTTTTCAACTTTGTCGTAGTCCAAATCACCGGCATACATGGACTTGATTTGGACATGAGTCCAGCAAGGAACACCAGCGCGTGTGAGAAGGTGCCAACCTGAAAGAAAAAGAGGTACTTCAACATTCCCCTCTTGCATGCGCTTCAGGACGGTTCGATGACGAATCAAGTAGGCCTGGACTCCTCTCCCTTCTTCCTCGAAAAGTCAGAGAAGAACTCATCAATCGAGTTCATCCAAGAGACGAAAGACGTGCTTGAAGGGATCTACAGCACGTTCAACCTCATGGAAGCTCAGTGGCGTCCCAAGCAACATCTCGAAGTCGGCTGATAATCAAGAAAGCACCTTCGACAGCCGTGTCACGACCACGACGATCGCACTACTTCTAAAAAAGTTCAAGGCGTCTCCTGTAGCTTCTATACGTCTTCGATATGAGGTTTTCTGAAGAGGGGTATGCTTTAGCAAGACTTGAATCCAATCCCTTGCTGTGTTGTGGAACGAAAGGAAATTGTGGTCCTGACTCTACTCTACCAACATTTACAAAAAAGAATACCATGACCTTAATCACCTTCTTCCACTTAGCTGGCTCTTCCAAGCTATGAAATCCTAGCACGACGGACGGGCATTCTTCTCGGAATTCTTTCCATGCCCGATATAAGCGATAATCTTACCCTTCAACTTCTAGAAGCAAACGAAGTCGAATTCAAACAAGTAAATCGTCCTCAAAAACCTTCCGTCAAGAGCGTCGCCAGCTCGATTACCAATCAAAGTGTTCAAGTTTAACAGTGCACGAAATCTAGAGCTATTTTTATGTAACGAGAGGATCGTAGCAGCTAAATAGTACTAAAGGGCCCTAACGACCGCGATAAATTAAACATTAAATGGTCATAAAATAATAAAAATATCAACAAAAATCAGATTTAAAATAAAAATATTTTTTAACGATCAAAAATAAACAAATTTTATCTATTTTATTCATCGCATCAATAATTTTATATCATATAGTTTAATAATGCACTCCAAAATCAACCAAGAAAACATAAAAAATAAATAGTTTACAATCTACACTAGACGACGAATAGCCCGAAAACATTTTTCATCACGCAGGAAATCAGAATGTGAGTTATCTGGGGTGAAGTGTTAAGTCGAATGAGTTGAAGCAGTGTGTAGGTCTCTATGTGTGTGTGTATGAGTCTTTATCTGTGTGTGTGTATGTCTCCGATTAAGTTAAGGCAGTGTATGGGTCTCTGTGTATATATTTCAACCTTCTAAGAAAACTGGGTGGTCGGGAGACATAACTCAACTACAGGGGCGCCAGAGCAAATACGAAAGATGACTCAGCCGCGAAAAATGATTCATCCGCGTACTAAAGTTGTATTGCAAAGTCACCAGTTCTCAGCTTCCAATTCCCCAGATGCTCCGCGCAATAAAGTTGTTTTTCAAAAATCGCCAATTCTCATCTTCCAGTTCCCCAGATATTCCGCGTATTAAAGTTATATTACAAATTCGCCAGTTCTCAAGTTCCAGCTCCACAGACTACTCCACGTATTACAATTGTATTACAAAATCACCAATTCTCATCTTCCAGCTCCCCATATACTCCGCGTACTAAAGTTATACTACAACTTCGCCAATTCTCATCTTCCAGTTCCCCGGATATTCCGCGCACTAAAGTTGTACTATAAAGTCGCCAGTTCCCAGCTTCCAGCTCCACAAATTGCTCCGTGTACTAAAGTTATTCTCATCTTCCAGCTCCCCAGATACTCCGCGCACTAAAGTTGTATTACAAAGTCGCCAGTTCTCATCTTCCAGCTCCGCAGATACTCCGCGTACTAAAGTTGTACTACAAAGTCGCCAGTTCTCAGCTTCCAGCTCCACAGATTGCTCCGTGTACTAAAGTTGTACTACAAAGTCGCCAATTCTCATCTTCCAGCTCCGCAGATACTCCGCATACTAAAGTTGTACTACAAAGTCGCCAGTTCTCAGCTTCCAGCTCCACAGATTGCTCGGTGTATTAAAGTTGTACTACAAAATCGACAATTCTCATCTTCCAGCTCCCCAGATACTCCGTATACTAAAGTTGTTCTCATCTTCCAGCTCCCCAGATACTCCGCGCACTAAAGTTGTACTACAAAGTCGCCAGTTCTCATCTTCCAGCTCCGCAGATACTCCGCGTACTAAAGTTGTACTATAAAGTCGCCAGTTCTCATCTTCCAGCTCGCCAGATACTCCGCGCACTAAAGTTGTACTACAAAGTCGCCTGTTCTCATCTTCCAGCTCCGCAGATACTCCGCGTACTAAAGTTGTACTACAAAGTCGCCAGTTCTCATCTTCCAGCTCCCCCGATACTCCGCGCACTAAAGTTGTACTACAAAGTCGCCAGTTCTCATCTTCCAGCTCCGCAGATACTCTGCGTACTAAAGTTATACTACAAAGTCGCCAGTTCTCAGCTTCCAGCTCCACAGATTGCTCCGCGTACTAAAGTTGTACTACAAAGTCGCCAGTTCTCATCTTCCAGCTCCCCAGATACTCCGCGCACTAAAGTTGTACTACAAAGTCGCCAGTTCTCATCTTCCAGCTCCGCAGATACTCCGCGTACTAAAGTTGTACTACAAAGTCGCCAGTTCTCAGCTTCCAGCTTCACAGATTGGTCCGCGTACTAAAGTTGTACTACAAAGTCGCACTCGCACTCTCGCCTGCATTTCGCGCACTCGGCGCGCACGATCTCCGCAAACACGCACGATCTCCGCGCTCTCGCCTGCATTTCGCGCACTCGACACGCACGATCTCCGCAGAGGGTTGCACTTTCGGTTGACGCTGTTCGTCCTGCCCTCCGCCTTTAAGAGAGAATTTATGAAGTGGAGAAATGTTTTTCATTAGGACATCTCCCGTGCTAGTTTTCCATACTCACGCTTGCCTACTCACTGCATGCTTGCAACTCATTACTTGCATACTTACACTTGCATTGCATGCTTTGCACTTCACTGCTTTCGCTCTTCCACTGACACAGGGCTACGTCTAGCGTTCATGTTGTCCTGCAAGTGTGGTGAAAGTGTCAATGTCTAAGTGTAAGTGTCGAAGTGTCAGTGTTCAAAGGATTTTCCGGAAGAACCCTTCGCAATGCTTTCGGGAATAAACAATTTATAAGACAAAAATTAAACAACAAATATCTACCACCAAAAATATATATAATCTATTAGTTATCAAAAGTATATTTTTCACCACACTCGCTTCAAGTCACAAAAAGAATTCCAGCGGACCAGCTCAGTCGTGTCATGTCGCGCTCTGACGCCCGACGCTTCTTTGGAGCTAATCCTTTTTGGAAAATTGATATCCTTCGTATCTTCTTTCGTTTCTTTCGTACAGCTTGCAGTGCTGGGAGCAGACTTTGCACTTTTCGTGATTTCTTCCAGCTTGGAATTCTCAACCTTGACTCTACAAGAACTGTCGCGAATGAATGCATAGTTTTCAGCCCAGTCGCCTCGAATCAGTACTAAAAGATTGAATTATTCTAAATTCTTCACTTCACACAGTTCTTTTGTTCAGAACTCTTCTGTTTTGGTTGTTGGAATTCTTCTTTGTCGCAGCAAACGTCGTGCCTTCTCCAGCAAGGCGACCCACGGTGACAACTTCTCCTTCCTTTTCGCGTCCCCATCCACCATCGGCATCGTACCAGTCTTCGTACCGCCGTGGCTTCCAAGCATACAACGTCAACAAGGACAACGGGAAGACTTCAAAACACAGCAGGCACGCCTTAGAAACGAAACCAACACGCTGAACATGTAGAGCAAGGACGCTACTAAGGGCTCCTGGCATCGCTACTAGTAGCTATTTTGTCCATGTGACGTTGCAAAGATTGGCTTCATCGGATTTCAAGAGGTCCCGTTGTTGCACAAAGCTGATCACCAAGCTTTGCAGAAAGGTTACTGTGACCAACACCTCCAAGAGAAGAACATCAAATAACATTAAAAAACACTTGCTCAATTCTCTTGTTTCGCACCCACACCTTCACTCCCAAAAACTTCAAAAGAGGAGCGAATCCTTCAAGTTCCAAAATCTGATGGAAGCCATGCTCAATTGCAATCAAACTCAAGATGGCCTCAGCAGTCTCACAAGGGTTGCTCCTTTTTCTAGTGTTTCCTCTCCGAACACTTTGAGCAAGTTGTATGCTCAAGAGAATGAGGTGGAAAAAAATCAAGAACATATATACATTCATGTTAATCAAGAACAAATCAAGGCAACCCTTGACACCTTTTGCGCAAAGGTGGTTTGCTCCGTACTAGTTTGCTTCTTTCATGGTTGACCAGTGAAAGGGATTGTGCAAATATATTGTTTGTTCTGGGGGGAATCCATGCACTTAGAGTCTTGAGAAACATCAACGATTTGTTTAGGAAGATGTGAGCAATCAGCACGAGACTCAAACAACAATTGCAAGAAAACTATGCTTAAACCAAAATTGATCCAAACGAACACGTTTCGCAACCCACAGTCAATTGATGGAAAAACGGTTTTCGCCATGGATCGATGGTGGAGGTCACAAAGGCCGCGCCATCCATGGATCGTTGCAAATGGCAAAGCCATGGAGCTTTTTCGCACAATTTGATGTGGAAACTGTCAGCCACAAATGTCACCGTCAAGGCGAACCTGTGCATTTCTTCAAAAGCGCAGCAAAATCATGTCTTTCTGAGAAGAGGGTCTCTTGCTGTCAGGACACAAAGACTTTACGGCGCAGGTGTAAACGAAAATCTTCACACCTCAGGTGATCCGCGCAACACCCATGAAGCGAAATACAGCGTTGATGGTTCCCCAAACAGTGTGGACAGAGTAGGGGTGCTTAAGTCAAGTGTAAAGCACCGGTTTGTAATCGAGGCATTGCGGCTAATTCGCTGCTACTTACAGTGCATTCATGCCTCGAAATCCTCCAAGTGCATTTCGGCTGCGCAGGCTTGCAGAATCTGCTTGGCTGGAGCGGGTGCTTGTCGCCGCTGCGCATTTTTGGACATGGTGTAGCAGGCGAGGAGGCACATGTAAAGCCCCACCGCCGTCAATTATGCAAAAAAAATCCTTATTGAGGGGTCTCCATGATTCTCCATGCTTGGACTCTTCATGTCAGAATTTTAGCCCGTGACTTTTCTCTAGTGGCCCAATGTCACGCAGGAGCCATGGCCGCTCCACTCCAGCGCGCACTAGCAACTCGGCCTTCCGCATGCGAAGCGGATGTGATGCCACTACACCATGTGCCCTTGAATAGAGGTGCACTTTGAGGGTCACCATGTTTGCACGCGACGCATGCAATGGACGGAAAAGGGCGGACACCAGCAGTGACACAAAGGGCGGACACATCTTAAGAAAGAATTGAGAAAGAATCTTAACAGTAAACTGTTTGGGAAAAATGCAAGAACCGAAATCCAACACGTAAAAAGGAGAGACAAACCAGAAAGGACCGTAAAAGTTCCAACGACAGGTGTCAGAAAGGTCTGTTAACCACACTCCATCTACAAGCGTGCACTGCCGCAACGCCATGCAACCAAGTGTATTCAACACGCTCAAGTAGTGAGAGCTTCAAAGGCAACTGCAAGCACTGTCTTCAAATTCGTGGTGTAGGGGTTGCTGTCACTCTTAACTGTCTCAGCCCAAAAGTGTAAGTTCTCAGCACTAAGTGCCACACCGGTCTGCTATGCTCTTGACAGTTGTTAAGGTCAATGCCATTCAGGTTTAATGCACATTTCGTGCCGTGCAAAAAGTCTGAGTCGTGCATGGGTCTCAATAGACTTCAATACAAGTGTGTATTGATCATGATGGAAACACGTCGTGAACACAAACGAAGCTTCTTCAGTTGTTTGCAAGCAGTCAAGAGAGAACAAAGTAAAAGAAAGTGTCACCAAGCAAACTCGAATTCAAGTTTGATCCTTTCGATCGTGTCCTCGTTTTTCGTGTCGTTTTCGCAGTTCTCACGCATTCTGTTCGGTTTTTCTTCTCGAACCGTTGAACCGGTTTCCAGATTGCTTTGAGCTCTTCTATCATACTGCGATATCCTAGTTGATCGACTCTCGAGAGAATACTTTGTTCATAAACCTTTGCGTTTGGCGTCAACTCTTTTGAAGCGTCATCGAAACACCGAATCGACGATTCAATGCTCTTTTTGCGTTTTGCAAAGACTGTGTGATCCGATCCTGCAAAGTCGTCTAAACGGTTTAGGTGTTTCCACAAGCCGCAGCAGCAGCAGCAAGCAGCAAGCAGCAGCGGCGTCGTCAGCAACAGCAGCAGCAGCGGCAGCAGCACCAAGCCGCAACAAGTAGCAAAGCAGCAGCAACAAAAGCGGCAACCAGCGGCAGCAGCAAACAGCAGCACCGTTTACACCCAGCCAACCACGTTCAACCAACCCCGCTACACGGCGCAGCTGGGAGTCGAACCGTGGGGGGGGTGGTTAGCGTGATATATTAAGCTTTAAGGCACGCAGCTCATCCCACTACCAATTGCTAAAGCAAAGAAGAACTCAGCTAGCATGCTAGCTTTCGTGACATCTTTGAGCTGCAACTGCTTTGCTTTGCCTTCAGCGTAGTCTATCTTACCATACTTTACTTGACTGTATTACTCACTCTACTCTGCTCTACTTCTTTTCTGATTCCTGCCTTCCTTACTTTGGTACGTGCTAGCTACTCAGGCACCTTACCTACATCCTCAGTTACATGATGATTGTGAGGGTGATCATCTTCTTGTTGCGGCGTCCCAAACAGGGTTGATGGTGTTGTGACAGCGACCAGTGTGCAAAGTTACAGCACAAAGCAATGTTACCACATGTACTCGCAATGAGAATGGTCATTTGCAAGTCTGCAGTAGCGATTCTTGATGCAGTTCTTGAAGCAATCAAGCAAGTCTTGTTTCTGAGATCTGTGCCGATGCCGGTGGTGACTTCCAGGGGTCGGAAGAGGAAGTGCTCGGGGTCTCGGAAGATCAGAAGTTTCTCCACGTCGTCCAAGCGGGCCAAGGCGGATCGCAACAAAGGCACCTCCTGACCTTGAAAAGGAAGCGAAGCGATGAACAGTGAAAAACGAAAAAGGAGGTAGGACAGACAGATTCAGCAAAGTTCAATATAAACATGTTAGGAAGAAGCATATGTGGTCGATGAAAAGAAACTAAAAGAAGAGATGATGAGGACACAACAAAAAGTCCCGAGATGTGGATTCAACAATGGCATTTCTCGAGCCCAAAAGCAAAAGACTCACGTTGTCCGATCTGGCAAATCCGAATTTGTTTTTAATTTGTCAGGTTTTTCACTCGACGCGGTTCAACACGTTGGCCCCTCGCTAGCCTGGCTTGTCCTGACAATTGTTGAGCAAGCGGCAAAGCCGCGGCAAAGCAGCTGCAAAGCAGCTGCACTGTTGCAACGGATATGTGTTGCCCACAGTTTCGACGTGCTATATGGTGACAAAAAACCAGTGCTCATTGCCGCAACATCTACCAAAGAAGGACCAAATGGAACAAACACCCACGAAAGAGATCACTCGCGGTGCCAAAGAACAGACTGTCCAAGCAGGGTGCCAAAGCGTGCCTTTCGTTGTGCGGTGCCAAAGCGTGCCACGTTCAAACAGCTTACGTTGGACGCATTTTGGGCTGCACGAAGTGAACGGAGCGCATTTCCCCAAAAAAACTGCTGACCAGTGATGGTGCCATACCAGCGGGTGGGAGTGATGAGCAGAAAAGGAAGTGAGAAAAGAAAGTAAAAATGAGAAGTCCTTGAAAAGTCTTGTTGAAATCTGCCTTAGAAGTCGTCTTTCATTTCGAGGGGCGGATCTGCCGACGGATTCGCATAAGGCACAAGCGCCCAAAGTTGTACAAAGCCCAGGCTTCACATAAGTCTGCCAGCTCCAAGTTTGTGCTGCAGCGCTCCTTCCATGTGAGAAACTGATGTCCACCATGTAATTTAACACACTTGAGGCCAGGGGGGTGAATGAAAGCTAGCGACTCCAACTAGCTGAGGCTAGCTTTCGTGATCGCCTGGTGAGTAGGTAAGGCAATCTCATGAGCCACCATAGGGCCAGAGGGACTCTTCTCCACAGTGCCTTTTGGGAATTGGCTGATGAAAATGATTAGTAATAGGCACCTTGGCTGGGAAGCTGAAATAATTGATTGAATCAAGGTTATGGACCCCCCCTCCGCGGGTTCAACTCCCCCCTGCGGAGGGGGTCTGACGACCATGAGCTTCTCATCTAATCTCATCAAGCTGCCTCATGAACACTTTCCCATGCTAATGCCACTCATCTTGCTCCAACCACGGTTTACAGCAAACGACGGTTCACACGAAACACCGCGTACGCCAAAATACGGTTGGCGCCAACCACAGCTTACACCAAACCACAGTCTACACCAACCATGGCTGATACCAAATCACGCTTTACACCAACCACCGTTCACACGAAACCACAGTGCACACCAAACCACCACCAAGCCTGTTTCCCATAACATGCCAGGCATACTCTGCTGCTGCTGCTGTTGTTGCTTGGTGCTCTGCTGCCGCCAAAATCTATTACAATGATTCTTATTTTACCTCTTCCCCTTGGTCCTTCTCATGCCAACCACCCCAGAAGGTGCAAAGCCCCAACCCCATACCATTGCTTCCTTCAACCCGCCCCCGTTTCCGAGGCGCCGTCCACCCCGTCATTTTACTTGCTAAAGCAAGAGCAACTCCAGCTAGCTGAGGCTAGCTTTCGAGAATAGAAATTGATCAAAGGAAGTTTAGAAGGAACTTCCGTGTTACGGACATTCAACAGCTGTTCAACCACCACTCATCATACACCACTCATCAGATTTCGTGGCAGGTGCAGCAATTTGTGAACCTCCATGTGCAGATTTCGTGGCAGGTGCAATACAAAATGCGTTTTCGAGAGATAGCGGACGCACGAAATGCTGTATTTTTCAATAGAACCGGTGGCTTCGAACCTGGCAAGTCTAGCTCTGCGGAACGACTGTTGCGAGACGGTCTCGGGTCATGCTCGGTCGGCCGTCCATTGTGATTAGGTTTTCACTTGTCTCTTGAAGTGCAGATTTCGTTAAAACATAGGACCAAGAAGCTACTAGGAGCAAAGGGCATCGCTACTAGGAGCAAGGAGCTCCTGGCACTACTACTAGGAACAAGAAGCTACTAGGAGCAAAGGGCATCGCTACTAGGAGCAAGGAGCTGGGTGGCACTACTACTAGGAACAAGAAGCTACTAGGAGCAAAGGGCATCGCTACTAGGAGGAAGGAGCTCCTGGCACTACTACTAGGAACAAGAAGCTACTAGGAGCAAAGGGCATCGCTGCTAGGAGCAAGGACGCTACTGGTAGCTCCTGGCACTACTACTAGGAACAAGAAGCTACTAGGAGCAAAGGTCATCGCTACTAGGAGCAAGGACGCTACTGGTAGCTCCTGGCACTACTACTAGGAACCAGAAGCTACTAGGGGCAAAGGGCATCGCTACTAGGAGCAAGGAGCTCCTGGCACTACTACTAGGAACAAGAAGCTACTAGGAGCAAAGGGCATCTCTACTAGGAGCAAATAGCTCCTGGCACTCCTACTAGGAACCAGAAGCTGCTAGGAGCAAAGGGCATCGCTACTAGGAGCAAGGAGCTCCTGGCGCTACTACTAGTAACCAGAAGCTACTAGGAGCAAAGGGCATCGCTACTAGGAGCAAGGACGCTACTGGTGGCCCCTGGCACTACTACTACGAACCAGAAGCTACTAGGAGCAAAGGGCATCGCTACTAGGAGCAAGGACGCTACTGGTAGCCCCTGGCACTACTACTACGAACCAGAAGCTACTAGGAGCAAACGGCATCGCTACTAGGAGCAAAGGGCATCGCTACTAGGAGCAAGGACGCTACTGGTAGCTCCTGGCACTACTACTACGAACCAGAAGCTACTAGGAGCAAAGAGCATCGCTACTAGGAGCAAGGACGCTACTGGTAGCTCCTGGCACTACTACTAGGAACAAGAAGCTACTAGGAGGAAAGGGCATCGCTACGAGGAGCAAGGACGCTACTGGTAGCTCCTGGCACTACTACTACGAACCAGAAGTTACTAGGAGCAAAGAGCATCGCTTTTAGGAGGAAGGAAGCTACTGGTAGCTCCTGGCATTACTACTAGGAACAAGAAGCTACTAGGA